ATTGTCTGCTTTTGTTTTCTATCAAAAACAAGTTGCTACTTTTGTAACATTCATTTCTCTGACTGACGATTGATCCCTCAGATTGAGTCTCTTTAGATTTTTTGCCGTGTAGATATTTAATCGAGTATAAATTCCCCACAAGAGATCAGTGGGAACTTCTGTCACCAAACATTTCTAATTAAAGAGCCGGTGTGTCTCGGTAATTTCATCCCCTGGCACTCGTTGGTGCAAGCTGCAAACACTAAAACTTGACCCTCTCTGATCTTCTCTCCCTAACATCAGTTTGCTCTGTGGAGCCTTTTGAAGTTTACTTTACGGATTAACTAATTGTCAAAGCTTTCTAATCCAGACAAAAAAGACTTGCCTTTGAACGAGCCTCGTTTCTACTCCCACAGCTCCTGCATCAAACACTTTGAACATGTTCACAACAAAGCAGCCAAAGGCTGAAGCGCTGACATTCTCAACTTTTCTGTTGTCTCCTGTTTCATATTGACATGATTTTGTGCTTTAGGGTTGCGCTCCAGTACATGTCTTGTCGTTTTCAGTATGTGGCACATTCGAAAGGCAGCTGCTGGATCACGAGGGGGCTTGGGAAGTGCATAGCCGACTGTAAATGGTTTTAGTATTAGTCAGGCTATAGGATTTGTTATGTGTCAGCTAGAGAGCCAGATTTAATTTAATTTTACAGGCTATGATTCCACAGAGCCAAAGATCGGATTGCTCACTGTGTCTTTTAGCAACGTAACAGAGATTGAGTGTTCGAAGTTTCCCCATGTCTGAAAACAGAAGTTTGAATTTGACCTAGTTTTTACGCTGCTTCACCCTTGTAGGAACACGTTGTCCCTTTTCAGCTGCACTTACCTCCTCTGAACATTTCACTATTAAAGTGGTAAATTATATAGTGTTTGCAGCCATACTTACTTTTTTAACCCTTTGTCTTGCTACAAACCACAAAAGATGCCCCTTATTGGGATTTTATGCGATAAATCAGCACAAATCTATAAATGTGAAGTTGAAGGAAGAGGAATATATATCTTTCAATATGTTTGTTGAAATAAATAGCAAAATTACAGGTCTGTGAGTGTTGGAGACCAGAGAGCTCAGCCGGCTGGTCAGGGTTGAAGTTGTGAGACGAACAAGGTTAGGTCATAAATATTTCAAACCTTGAGATTTCACCTGAACTGTCAAGTTTTTTGGCTTTCATAAAAAAATTTAAAAAAAACATTTAATGACAAGAAGAAAATTTAAATACAGGGTAATTATGAAAGAAAAGCTTCACTAGACCTGAGATTGGATTGAATTTCAAACTCCAAACTTCACTGGAGGTGAGAGATTGAGATTGCAGGAGGTTTCCCCTTTCAGCAGGATAATGGACTTAAACATGCAGCCAGAGCTACTATGGATTGCTTTTGAGCAAAGCGTATTATTGGGTTAGGATGACAGACACTTTAGCTAATTAACTGAGCTTAAAATGTCTTAGCCAGGATGGAGAAAAATGTTGGTTTCTACACCTGCAAATACCTTCAGCTGTGAGAGCAAGAAAAGCTCATTCCCGGATACTTAACACAAATGAATGACCAAACTTTTCACATTTTATCCGTAAAACAAACCTGAAATTCACCTCACACCAATGCTCTATGTCCATCATAAAGGCCCCAATGATGTACATTCATGTTTGTGGCTCTAAGATGACAAAATGTGAAAAAGCACTTTTACAAGACACTTTAAATGTTGCCATCCTGTTGACATGTTCTTAAGACAAATTATATTTTTAACCGCTGGGTTTAAAATACACCAAATAAGCATTTAAACAGAGCTTTGAGATGGTATAAAGTTTTTACTAGCTGTAAAATCCTCCAGCTGCACCAGCTGCACCAGCTGCACCTGTCTTAATGTAAGAACTCTTTAGTCAAAGCTGTATTATTAGAACTGTAATAAACAAGTGAGAAACATTAACATCCTCTCACTGGTGAAAGCACATTTCTGACCTGCAGGTGTGTGAACGTCTCTGTTAGCCACCTTGTGTACGTCGGTGTAAATGCATGTGTGTCTGAATGCGCGCGCGCGCGCGTGTGTGTGTGTGTATAATATTTTAACCTGTTCTCCTGGCACACACGCAGCCGTTAAAACCGAGATCACCAAAAGTAGCAGCACCCTTCCTTACACGTGTCCTGTCATTGGGTGTCAAATCTATTTATGGCTTCCCTGCTGCTCTTTGATTCCTCTCCGTCCGTCCGAAGTTCATAGTGCGCAGTTTATCCGAGAGGAGGATTCGACTGGGAGGCCTGCGGGACTGGTTTTGTGAGGGATTTTATCTTTGGATTAATCACAGCAGGAGTCCACGTCAGAGGAACCACAGCACAGGGGAGATTAAGTTTGACTTCATCCTTACTTCTTCATAATCTCGCTGACTGTTACTTTTTTTTTTTTCTTTTTTTCTGGGGGGTAATGTGAGCATCTACAGTATCCGTTTGGGTGCAAAGAAAGGACTTGTATCGCAGTACAACCCATGGATTCATCCGAGGGCCCCTCTCCGTCCTTTACAAATTCACCTGAGGAGTCTTCGGATAACACTCCGGCCCCAGACTCCTCCCGTCACACAACCCACACGGGCCACCAGAGTGGGCTCAGCAGCCTTAGCTATGGAGTCGGTGTTGCCTGGCACCACTTTAGGCCCTTCCTCCCCTTCTTCCTCATCAGCTTCATGGTCGTGGCCCTCGTCTATCTGATGCAGGCTATCATCTACGGGGGGCCCTTCAAAGACCCGCTCTTCTTTGTCAAGTTTTATGAGCGATGGCCGCGACCAACTCCTCCACAAGAGTCTCCATCCCCTACAAAGGTTTTCACTACAGTCCCCTCCCCGTCCTTTGTCCAAGTCCTCAAAGGTGTGCTCAGACTCAACGACACATCGTAAGCTGGAGAAGATGCTTCTGTCATTGTAACCAAAGAACGTTCCAAATACTGACTGGAGGGATCAGACCAAAACAGATCTTGTTGTTTGTGTAAAGTTTTATATGGTGCCACTTCTATGGAAAACATTAAATGGGAGAAGAATGGTTCGGGCCTCCATTGATGCGTCTGGGTACAGTCACCAAGAAATTACATCTGAGGTATTCGAGTGATTTCTAAGGTTAAAACAATGTCACCGAGTTGATCAAAGGTGTTGGTCTAGTAGAAATGACTTCTGGGTATGGATCTATAGGTCGATAATGGAAATGACTAATATTCTCCCAGTCAACACTTCCTGTCAGAGTTTAGCAAGAGTTTACAAGAATAAACTATTACATCATATGGGGGTGTTTTCTTCAAGTACTCAATGAGCAAGCATAATTCTTGCTAAATGTGTCTCTTTTCTGAAGGTGAGATTGTTTCATGCCAAAAGAGGTGGAAAATATGAGTTTTAGAAAAAAAAAAAAAAACATTTTTTAACCAAATATACTGCCAAGTCAGTTACTTAACTGAACCAGTCCTTTCTTTTGTTTTTCAGAGACTGTTTCCGTGAATTAACATTTTATTATCACAGTAACATCTATTAACTACTGGAAATATAACACCCTAAAATATACATTTTTTAAAATGTATGCTTGTGTTTCAGTCTGAAAGATGTTTAAGCTCATTATAAATTTGAGCTGGTTGCGGTCAGAAACATTTCAACACTTGTTGTCTTAGTACTAAATGCCTGTGTTGTGTTACCATCTCCATGGCTCAGTACGCAAACAACTTACTCATAACTGTGAGGGCTGCTGGGGCCTCACCGTCTTTTTTTATCTGCTTAGGAAACGGCTCAACGGGCCGATGAACGAGTTACGTGCCTAAGAAAACATACCTCTTAGGAAGCGAGAGTCCTGTCTTTGTCAGAGCCATCCATCAGAAGTAGACAAGCAGTGGCCTGTTTTTTTTTTTGTTTTGTTTGTTTGCTTTAACACCTGTTTTACTGCTTGTGGTCAAACATAGAGAGATTATGTGGTTTTTATATAATTACATGCCTTAGGCTTTTTCTGGTACCATCATCAATAGTTTGTTGTGACGCTGTTGTTCAAACAAACAATTTCAGATGAATGAAATCTGAATCTCATAAATCTTGTTCTCATGCTGTGTCATCCAGGCCTGGACTCAGCTTACAGTTCTGTGTTATGCTTGTAACTAATGGAGGCTCTTGGAGTCACCATTATGCCTTATGCATTTTTTTTAGGAGGGAACAGTGGAGAAAAACTGCACATGCTGCTCTTTGTTGTAATTTACAGAAAATGTTTTTTTTGTTCCTTTGAAGATGTCTTTTGTTTTTATTTTTCTGTTTGACCCAAAATCAAGTGAAAAAGTGACTTCCCACATAATTTTGTTCACTGTTTGTGTTACTCTCGAACACAGTAACTAGAAATGTGTCTTTACATCTCAGTGGAGAAACTTTTCCCTGGAGAATTGCTTTAATTCATCAACATTGAAGGGTATCTCCACATTAAACGCCTTTTTAAGGTTATGCTATAACATATCAATCAGATTTAGTATAGTTGTCATGATCTTGGGTATTTTGAGTTTAAGGTGACAAACTAATAACTGGACATTTCCTTCAACATGAAAGAGAAAGGGGAATTCACCTTTTCATCAATTTATGCAAGTCAATCAGGTCCTGAAACAGGAAAGCAGCTTTACTCCCACAGCCAGTATGAGCATCTTTTTCTCATATGTTATTTTATTTTTACTTCAGATGAAATGGGACACTTTGAAAAAAGAAATCAGTTTCATAAAGTTTCACAACTGTGACATCAGTCCAGAGAGTATTTTCCTAAAAGTTTTTGTTATCCTAAAGATGCCTACTGGGTAATATGAGACATGGGTAATTTTTACTATTACTGCTACTACAACTATTATTATTATTATTGTTGTTGTTAACCAATGAGTTAATTCTGCTGGTAAGGCGTAATTTACAATCACACTAAAATAAAAAAATATATATAAAATATGGATAAAAACACTTCCTCATTCTGAGTGAAAGTAGACACCAAATGCAATCCTATTTTAACTACTAATTAACAGAAATCTCAAAATCCAGTCAAAATTGGATTTCATCGCTTTGTTTTGATTTACAAAAGAAGACGGAAGTACGTCCAGAAACCCTCTTGGCTTTATTTTCACTCTTTGGTTGTCGAACCATTTGATTCCAGTTTTGATCATTGTGGAGAGTCACTGCCGCCATCTGGTGGCGGAGCGGCAAACTGCTGCTTCGTTGCCCATCCCGCTTTGCTGGTGACCACCAAAATGACCCGTGGCTGGCCTCTACCTCTATTAATCAGACGGAAATAAAAAAAAGAGAAGAAAGACCCAATTCACGCGTTCGTGTTATGCATATTAAATACTTTCTTTAAATTTTTGGACTTCAGAAATCATTTTAGGGTCCTTTAAAACGGTAAGTACCGACGGTGTGGGACACCTGCGCGCGTTTTAGCTAGCAAGCGTTTGTTTTCAGCAATAAAACCCAGTAGAGTTATTAGACTGTATATTATGGTGTGTTTGCAGTGGTAACCAGCAGCTGGACTGTCAGGACCGATTAAATATGCTTCTTTTGGACAGTTTGGTTTATTAGTTGGCCTGCAAAAAGTTTGTAAGGCTAAACTCAGGTGTGCTGGACCCATGCGTCCTGCCTTTGAGCCTGGAGCCCAGGGCATGCATCTGCCTAAAAGTGATGAAGTTAGCTTATATAATTAAATAATAACACAAATTGAATTCAGAGAGGAAAACTGAAGTCATATAATTATTTTAATGTGTAAATGTTTGTCTAAGAATGGTTTTAAAAAACAGCCATAAGTCTTATAAGTATAGAATAATTAGGTTTATAAACTATTTTATATTCAGTTGAGACAGACAGAAACACACTTAAGGTGAAAAATAAAGTTACCTACCTACAATTACCTTTCTGTTTTTTATATTACACAATGCAACCTTTGCAAGAATAACATTTATTACTTTTATTGACTTTTTAAAAAAAGTGCTGTGATAAATTTATTTTAAATAATTTTCAGGTGGGTTTTTATGAAAATGTCAAGCTTCAGACAATCGAGTCTTTCTGTTATGAATTAAAAAACACGCTTGTGTTATCTTCTGGTCTGATGCATCTTTATTCTGCGCCTTTTGACTCCTGCTTTGAAAGTGGATGGAGAAATGTGGTGCTACCAGAAACCAGGCTTCGAAGCCCTCCTTCTCGCTGAGCTGCAGAGACAACAACAGTGCAGCCAGTTTTGTGACACTTTGCTCAAAGCTGGAGGTATAAACGCACTCACACATTAGTACACATGCATTTTTGTTGATAATTTCTAAAAGGTTCCCACTGATATTTACTTGTGGATCAAATATTTGCATACAGTATGTGCATATTTATATATTACCTAGGCTTTTTATATAGGGGAGCAGAAATTCTCGTAATATGTTGTAAATGGGTCCTTATTAGTAGTTATCCAAGCTGTTTTTGGAAAATTTCTTTGCATTTTTGCTGCTTTCTTGCTCAATGTGACTGCAGAACAAGATCAAATTTAAAGAAAATTCTTTATGTTTATAATGCATATTGATTAAAGGGTGTTCATGTTAATCTTTTCACCATTAGGTGTTTCAGTCCCAGCACACAGTTGCATTCTGTCGGCCATCAGCCCTCACATCTCCTCGGCTCTGTCGTCCTCACCGGCGCCCCCTTCTGGACAGAGCCGTCTCCTGGAGTTCCAGGCACTGGGCGCCTGCACCCTGCTGCACATCATCCGACTCCTTTACTCCGGAGAGATGGCCGGGGAGGGGGAGAGCGAGAAGCAGGAGGCCATTTACGCTGCAGCCAAGCTCGGCATCAGCGGCTTGGTGGAGGTGACAAAGAGCAGAGGAAGGTTTGGTGGAGGGACAGAGCAGTACACGGAGGTGGGGGTCCAAACGGAGCCACAGAGCACAGAGGAGCATGATGGGAGGCTGGTCAGGTGGAGGAGAGAGGTGAGGGATGGGTCCACCTATCTGTGGAAAGACACGGAGGTGTCAGGTGGAGGAAAAGACATGTGGACTCAAACTGAGGAACAGCTTGTCGACTCATATCCTCCTGTCCCCTCAGTGGTCCCCTATGAGACCATCGACATGAGCGTCTTCCAGAGTTTAAGACAGACAGATCCTCATCAGCTTGTCACGGTCATCTATCCACCCGAAGAAAACCAAACGCTGCAGTACACCTCTGCTCCACCAGGCTGTCTGCAGGAATCCACCACACCTGGAAGCACATCTGTCGCCATCATGACCCCACAGTACGCGCCTCTTCCTGCTCCTCTTCCTCATTTCTCCACCCAGACGGCTCCCTGTGTGGCTGATTCTCAGAGCTGCTGGGCCAACCCAAACCTAGAGGAGTGGGGAGGAAAGAGGTTGGAGCAGTTTGAAGGAAACATCGTGGGATTCATCAACCACTTCCTGAATCCGGAGAAGAGGAATAGTCCCCGCAGGGGACGGGCAGAGAGGAGGCCAAGGGGTGCCCAGGCAGCCAAGAGTGGACAGCAGAGGACCAGGAGACCCAGAGTGAGCGTGGGAGGGAAGAGGAGAGCCGCGTTCACTCAGATGGTGGATGTGCAGGAGATTGGGGTGGGCAAACTGCAGAAACTGTTCCTGCACAGGTGGAGGGTGAGGACGCCCAGAACAGGTCAGGGTGGGGGCGCTGTAGGTAGGAGGTTGCACCAAAAGACCAGGGAGGAGCTGGAGCCGGCCAAGAAGAAGCCAAGGGGACGTGGAAACGTTTTTGAGGAGGACCAGAGTCAGGAGGGGCAGCAAGGCAGAGGGGGAGCGAACACCCAGCGGGGCAGAAGAAAAACCACACAGCAGGTCGCCAAGGTGAGGAAAAAAAACACTCAGAATTATGGACTCTAGAAAAAAAATCCAGATTTTACCAAAATGAAATCCTCCAAAACAAAAAAAATTGATTCGTCAATCAAATTTATCGCCCAACCCTAATACTTAGATATTTTGGAGCCAGAGCGAGCAATGTTTTATCAAAGTGTCTTCACACTTCAGAGCCGTTCTGTGAATCACTTGGACTGAAAACCAACCAGAGCGCATCATTGCTTAGACATTTTTTTTATGGAGAAACATTTTGTGGAGTTGAACTGAAGCTAATCTCCAGTTAGAAAATCTCTTTCTTAAGTTAGTAAGTAAACTTTACTTATATAGCACTTTTTACAGGTCAGAAACCACAAAATATAATATATTAAATAAAACACAGCAAACCTAATAACACACATGCCTGTTTTCACAGATTACTTTAAATTTGCCTTTTTTTTAATAACATTTTTCCTCAGGGCGTATGTGGTTTAACTGAATATTTGGTTTTCTTGCCTCATAATTGGTGTTTTCTCTCTCTGATTCAAGGCCAGTCTTCCTATTGGCACGGATCAAAACGGCAGGAACCAACCAACACCAGATTACCACTCTGATCAATCCAACAACCTCTACAGGGGGCCTAGTTTAACGTCTTCCAGTCCCTCCATTCGACCGATGCGTTCTCATGCTGCGTCATACGTTTCTGCAGCACCATCCCATCTCTACAGCCCGCAGTTTGCTCCTCCAGCTCCTCCACCTCATGAGGACCAGCCTGAGCACATCGATCGTTTGTTGGAGGAGGTCTTTCAGGATCTGGACATCTTGCCAAACAACAAAGCTCCTCTTTCACAGTGTCTTTCAACAGGCAGCGATGCTTCTGGCAACTCTGCTATCCTAAACAAACACCAGGCCCAGATTAGCAGCTCTGAGATGCCAGTGCTGCAGCAGCAATGCGAGGGGGAGCTGAATGACATTCTGGAAAACTTACTCCAATCATTTGAGCAGCATGTTGAAAGCAATAACACCAGGAAGGAGAACGAGATACGTGTTGAGAGCTCTCCAGAAACCAGACAGCCAGTCGTTGTCCAGAGGAAACACAAAACAGCCAAGATTCATGAGGAAACCCCTCATACACCGTCTCTACAGCGCATAGTCAATCACTCTCAAACACCTGGTGTACAGAGAGGTGATACCAGACTATCAGACATCCAGGACGTTTCCTCCAGAAACTCCAAATCCATCACAGCAGCAAGGAGGCCGAAGAGAAGGAGGTCAAACACGTATCTGTTCTCGTTAGAAAAAAGAAGGGTGAAGAAGCTGCCACTGCTGCGGGACTCAAAGGCCACGTCGGGTCAGCATCAGCAGGAGAAGCAGCTGCAGCAGACACCGGTGGTAAAACTGGCCAGAGACAACTTGCTGTCAGTCAGAGCGGCGCTGCAGGGAAACAACTGTGAGGAGAAGGTGAATCAACTATCTGCAACCTGCTAATGTTTTCCGAATTTTCTGTTTTTCTGAAGAGAATCAAGTAATCCAAGTAAAGCGAAAATGGCAGCTAACCGAAGATGAAAAAAAAAAAAGTAGCTGGAATACCATTTACTTTTATTTAAATAATTCACCTCAAACAGTAAAACTTGCATAGATGTATTACACAGTGATAGATTTCAGATTCAATTCTGTTTATTCTGAGGATTACCATTTAAAGCTTACTTAAACCCAAAGCTCAATTTCTCCAAAAACTTAGAGTTTTACATAAGAGTAAGAGACTCCTATGAAAAGTGTGAAAGGTGACGTAATGTGTATTTGGCAGCAGTAAACAGGTCCCTGTATCAACTGTTACAACGGTGTTCAAAATGTAAGATGAATATTTCGCCACGCTTTTAGGAATTAAATAAGTTGGGCAAAGCTAAAATGTGACAACTCTGACTTTTATTTCCTGCAGAGTCCATCACCAGCAAAGGAAAAGTCCCATTTTAACCATTTCAGAAGGCACTTGGTCACAAAGTTCTACCCAATCAGGAGCAGATTTAGGGATCCACAAATCCAGGTGAGCAAGAGCCTTTATGGTAAGACAAATTACCTTCTGGTATTCAGGGTTTCAAGAAGTTTGAAGCCCGGTGCTCAAGGTGCTAGGGCAGTCCTCCAGCCACCCGCCATGTTTTTGAGTTAAACATTTTTTTTTAAAGTTGACAGGAAATTTAAAATAATTTGATAATTATGCATTTTTGGAAGACTTGAAAATTAATACGTGAACATCAACTATAAAGTCTTAAAAAAGGCAATCATTAAAATAAACTAATAAATTAACAATGCTAAGCCTGGTGGGGCTCAAGTAAATCCTGGTGGCCCGCCAGGCTTGTGGTGCACATGGAAACCCTGGGGATTGTTGTAAAGAAGCACCACTGATTTGCAGTTAAGTCTGTTGACTTGCAGGTTTATTAATTTAGGGACAATTTTGTTTTGAGGGCTTTCAGTATACTCCTCACTATTTCCCTCCTTCCCTCCCTGAAGGCTTTTCTTCTTGTCCCTTTGGGTCACTGGTGATCCAAGCTTTGTGGTACGGATGTTGTTGTCCACACAGAAGGTTATATAGTTAGTCACACACTGAATCATGGCATTGATGTCCTCTGTCTGCACAGAGCAGTCCAATCTATCCTCAAAACAACGTGCACGCCTTCTTCAGCTTCCTGTGATCACTTTCTCACAGCTCTCTTCTTTACAGGTTGCCTTTGAACAAGGGGATTATATTCCACCTAGAGAAATATTAAGACTGATCTAAATTTCTTGTTTTTGAAACATGAATCCTTATCAGTGTAGCAGAAAGTGACAGTTAAAATGATTGGATTATTAAATACATTGGGTGTTGGTGTCTGTAGCTTAACAACCGAATCTGAACTAACTGATGACTTCACATACATTGTCAACAACAGCTGAGGGTGAAATTTAAGAAAAGTGCTGTTGAGGTTTCATTTCGGGACTGCAGAGTCGAGACTTCACAGTAACATGACACCATCTGTTGACAAGCACTGCCAAACAACCAGAAAGTTAACTTTGTGTCATTGTTTTTCAGGACTTTTTGCCTTTTCTGGAGGAGAATCCTGTACAGAAAACAAGACCACCAAATCGAAGGTGTGGCAGGTCAAAGAAAAACGGAAATCTTCTTGGTTCGTCTCATGTTGAGAGTACAACAACGTCAGAGAACAACCCTGAGACGGAAACATGTGCAACGGTCATTGAGGAGGATGATATAGATGTGATTGGAGGTATGGGGCCAGCCCCTGAACCTGTCATCATAACCTGGACAGACTCCTCAGAGGAAGAAATTGATGTTGGGATCTGATTCAAAGAAGTTAGTTATTTTCATTGGTTTACAGGTTTTCACAGCTAATTTGTGGCTGTTCACTTTGTTTTAGCTGTTAGCAAACCGTTTGGAGGGTTTTAAAGCCAAAGGGTAAGAGGTATTTTATCTTAGTTGTAAATATGTTCAGCAATCTGATTCAGATGTGTAAGATCAGGAATATTTTTAAAAGTTACAAAGCAATGTTTGAAGAATGGAGTCTTCTGGTTTACAGCAACTTCATGTTGTAGCATGGCCTAGTCAAAGTCCAGGCTTACAGCCAGCTAAGTATCTGTAGCAACACTTGAAAATTGCTCTCCACAGATGTGCTCATTCTGATGAGACTGAAATTGATCTGTTTCATAAAGTGAAATTAGGAAAATGTTAAATGTTTCACAAAGTTCTGACTCAGGAAAGTACATTTTTTCTTTATATGGGAATCTAGAAAAGTAATAGAAACTGACTTCTCTGTGAGATGCATCTGAATAAGTTTCCAAATTTCCCAATGGATGTGTATTGAATTGGGAGCTGGCGCCCCCTTGTGTTGACAGGTGCTGTGTGCTTGCAGCTGAGAATAGGTCAATAAGTGTTTGTCGCACCCTTCCCATGCGGGATGAGGCGTAAATAATTCTGTTGCATCTTCATTTCAGTTAGTTTCTGAGCGCCATGTTTGGCAGCGCCAGCTGGGGTTGTAACGTTTCCATAAACTGGAACTGTTTCTGTCGCTGTAGTGGGGGAGTGACGGGACGAGCGGCTCAATGTTACGCAAGAACCGCTGCTGTTGTGGGGTGACTGTACGCACAAAAAACACTTTTTAAATTTTAGTTTCTAAAAACTAATAATTTTCCCTTCAAATCTTTTAAATGTCATGTCACATAAGCTGAAATCCTAACAAATAGATTGATGTTTGTTTGATAATATGTTGGGAAATTGATGATTAAATGCTTCTGTATGCACCTGAAATGTTAAAACTTTTGGTTACATCTTCTAAAGTTAGCTTTTTTTGGCCCGTTTAGTTTAACCTTTTCATCCGATAGATTCTAAGTTTGCATTCAGTTTTTCCTTTATTTTGCATCGTTTTCATTGATTTGTCCACATTAAAGCCATCTGAAATAATTTACCCTTTGTTTAAATAATTGCCATGTCATTTGAGCCTTATGGAAGAGGGAAGGAATAAAACAACAACACGTGAAGTAAAATGAGTTTATTAGTAATCAGCCTGTGGCTCGGTTTCCTTCACACAAACAACACATCTGAGCTGCAGCTCTGCTTCACTCAGCAGAGGGGATTATTCCCTGGGCCTCCAGGTTTCACACCTGTCTGATCGATTTCCTGTCCTCTCCGCTGAGCTCGGGTTAGAATACAGCTCAGGTGTGAGCCTGATGCGTGGAGGAGCCTTTAAACCAAATAAAAAGACACTGAGCGTCATTAATGTCAGCATGTGTGTGAAGTGTGTAGTTCCCTGTGCTTTAACAGTGCGATATTGTCTCTTATCACACTCTTGGCAGCGGCTCTGGGTCGTTGTGCGGTGTTGTCAGGTTGGGGCGGCTCAAGTCAAGAGGAAGAAGAGGAATGAGGGGATGGAAAGAGGGAGAAGAGGGGGTTTGGGGTATGGGGGAGAGGAGCTGCTTGGCCTCAATCTCAGCCCATTCTCCTCTCAGTGCTGAATGCGTCTAATGGACTGGATCTGAGGGGTCTGGCAGTGAGAGCCCCAGTTCCTCCAGTGCTGGTAGTCTCCACTGTGTCTCTCACACTCCATGATGTACTGCTGACCCCTGTAGCCAGGGAACTGGTAGCACACGAAGCTGCAAGGGGACATCAACGGGACAGTACAGGATCAAAGAGGGTAACAAGAGGACAACTTTATGCTGAGACGGTCTGTAGATCGTGAGGAGCGTTTTGAGGTAGAACTTACGCGCCGCACTGCACGTGCATGGAGCCGACCTCAGGCATCATCCAGCCCATGGCCTGCAGAGAGGGGTAGTCGTCGCAGAGCTCTGCGTTGCGGCCCATGAAGTTCTCCCTCTCGAAAATGATCATGCGGCTGCTCTGGTGGGACTGGACAAGACCACAGAGACCAATCATGTCTTCACGTTCTCGGTCGGTCGGTCGGCTGGACAAGGCGAGAACGATGTACTCACAGCGCAGTAGATGGGGCGGAAAGACATAAGACGCTCCACGTGGTAGGAGATATTTCCACTGTACGCATCCCAGTGGGGGTACTCTCCCCTCTCCAGGATGAACTGCTGGCCCTGGAAGTCGTGGTGCTCGAAGCCCACCCAGCTTCACACAAAGACAGAAACAGACCAGCTTACGAGAGGGCTCTCTGTCGCCTTGTTGAAAAGCAGAAGATATTAAACTGATGTCAATTGTGATTTCTTTTCCATTACCAGCCCCTGCCGCTCTCAATGGTTTCAGTCATTAAGATCTATATTAGCTGTGGCCATAAACAGCAGTGAAGCTTCACCCAACTGACCAACTATGTTATAGATGAGCAGACTGCATCCACACACTCCATTGCAGGTTGCAATTTTGCAAATATTTAAGTTGCAATAAGAGTTGTTTTGCAATATATTGCACATAAAGACATTGTTTTGGCTAAATGTAACTTGTACAGCTTGTTACTGTCACTCCAAAACGTCGATGTAAGCCTGAAGAGACTCACGCTCCGCTCTCCACCCTGATGGAGCGGATGGTGTCCATTCCGCACTCCTGGATGTTGCAGCATTCAGAGGTGAACTCAAGGCACTTTCCTTGGAAATGCTCCTGCTCGAACACAGTCACCTGAGGAGACAGAGCAGGTTCTCTAGCCTGGTTGGCTCCACAAAAATTGATAGCTCATAAAAAAAGTTATCTCAGATTTATTTATTTTTTTCCTGTTTGTGTCCAGAGGAGCGAGAGTTACCTTGAAGAAAGGAGCCATGCCCATTCCTGAGTTGACCAAAGGCTGCATCATTGGGGACCTTGTAGTTTTGTACATCTTGACTCCTGATTGAGGACAGGGAAATAATGCAAAAAAGTAATTAGCGTCTTACTTTCAGATGATTTCTTCCTTGAATACATTATGGTGGTTTTCATTTGAGAGCCGCATATTGCTATTGATTGTTGCTAAAAAAAAAAAAAAAGTGTCAACTGGAGGACGTCTGGGCTCTGGTTGCGGTTAAAGTGCTTCTGGATTTGAGTGAGAGAAACCCTGAGCTGACAGAGCAGAGATTTCCTTACCTAGACTGGCACTTTATTGGAAGAGCTCGGGAGTGATACGCGCCTACCGCCTGCCTCGCGTAGAGCTTTCAGAGAACCTGGCGCTTCAGTTTTATACCGACGGCTCTGCGGGAGGCGCGCTCACCGGGGGCGCGCCCGCGTCTCTCCATGCGCTCCTGTTCAAACGTCCACATGGCACGGCAGAGCCGGCGAGGCGCGCACTCCCGGCGACCCTCTGTGACCGCCGCACGCTGTTGTCCTGCCGCATCGACCAGCTCAGCAGATCCCATAGTTCCCCTGAGGCTGGAGAACAAAAGGCGCTCCGGCATGTTCGGACCCCGGTCAGCAGTCCAGCGCCCTGCCCGGCACAAAGGGCGGGGGATCGGGGTGGAGAATGTCGGGGATTAAGGTGGCACACAGAACGACATCTGTGGAGGTCTGAGCAGATGTATAGAAATGTTACAGAGAAGGTGAAAGTCACATTTTCTGATTCAGATTTTATAGTCTGCAGGTGCTGCCGCTCACGCGCATTAATTGGCGAAGGTGCACGTGCGCAGGTGTCTGGTTTGGCTGTCTCGTTGTAGTTTGTCAGCACAAAGTTGGGGTCTGGATCCCACAGCTGGACGTAAAGCACAAGTCAGAAGGATTTGGTTTGGTCTCAAGTAAACAGAAGCAAATAAAAATATGTTAATATAATCGTTTTATCATAATTGTTACAAGACAAAAACAATTATTTGATATTCATCTTTTCTTATGTGTCTTTGCACATTTTTGCATCCAATTTTTTTATTTTTCTTGCTGAAGCTTTGTTGTAAAAAAGCACCAAGAGATCTACATTTCTGGGCTACATAAGAATGAATAAATGAATTGAATGAATTGTCATATAATGATTAAAATAATGATGGTGTTCTGCAGGCACAACCCATGTATGACGACCCCAATTCTCCATGCGGCTGTTGCAGGTTTGATTCCCTGCCACATGCCCTTCCCTCTCTCTCATTACCAACTTTCCTGTCAATTAACTATTAATTAAAGGCCACAAGAGCCAATAAAACCTTTTAAACATACTATAATGGTTAATAAAACAGAAAAGAATAGGAGCACAAAGTAAGTTAAAAGCATTTAAGAGATTTGAAATAGATCACATTTCTCTTATTTTCACTTTTCTTCATGGGCAACTATTTAAATTCAGGATAGAATTCAAAATCCTTCTTTTTACATACGAAGCCCTTAATAGTAGTAATAATAATGCTTCATTATGTGGATAGAAATCTAAGTGTTTCATCTCGGACTGCAGGTTCTTTGAGTTTATAAAAGGAGATGAGTGGGAGACAGATGTCTCAGCTGTCAGACTCTTCCTCTGTGTCTCCAGCTCCCAGTTTCTGTCCATGAGACGAAGCACCAAGACTAGAATTAAAACTGTCCTGTTTGTTCAAGTTTTTAATTCGAGTGACTGATGCTGTCCTGAGTTTTCACTGCAGTTATGCTTCTTTGGGCTTGGGCTGCTGGAGGAGAAACTGGACTGAATATTTCCTCGCTCTGAAACGTTCTCCTCCTCCTCATTAGAAATAACAAGTGTAACTTCTATATTGCAGCCGCAACATAGAAGCTGTCTTTGTGTTTACCTCCCAGACAAAGCAATGAGAGGAACTAATCCTGCTACCAACTCTGTTATGTACTCTCTGGCTGTTTTTCATTTTTACTACTGGCTCTGTTTTTATGTGTTTAGCTGTTTCTAAAGGAAGTGCAGCTGCTATTTACTTTTTGCTTCTTATTTAACTTAGAAATATAGAAAGCGGCTGATCTAAGTACCTTTAGATCACCTCTGCATTGGAAGTAATAGCATAAATGAGCCTAAAAAAAACTTCTAATTTGTAATTTAGAACTTCACTCTTGCTGAGTTTGACCATATTTGGGTCTCTACCCTAAGATAAGGAAGCGCTGCTATGAAAGAAATAAAAATAGCAAAGCTGAAATCCTCGTTTAAGTATAAGTAAGTAAAATGTAGTAAGTAAAACTTATGGCAGCTATCTCAGACATTAAAATCAAAGTGTTACAAAAAGACAAACAAATAAACAAGAATATAAAGTGACATAAAAGCTGTCAGTCTCGCTAAAAGCTTGTCAGAATAGCAATGTCTTCAGCTGCTGCTTGGAGGAGTCGCAGGGCTTCATGCAGCTCAGAGCTCCGGAGCTTTGAGGCCTGAAAAGCCCAATCGTCACCAGTTTTAAAATGAATCACCAACAACCTCTGACCAGGTGATTATTGAACAGTAAGGCTGTGATAAAATCTGAGAATATTCAGGGGTTTAAAGTGCCCAGAGTGTCTGGACCAACACTGTTCTGGCTTCAGTAAGGAGGCCAGAACAATGTGCTCTCCTACGTTTGTCCTTGTTAACAGTCTTTTCTTGTCACATTTTGCACAGTCTAATCTGTATTTCTAAGACATATAAAAAGACTGCAACATCAGTCCAAACAAAATGAGACAAAAGCATGAATCATCATTTCAAGCTCATTTTTTGACATCTTAATTTAGAAATATTAATTCAATGATGAAAACAGTTTTGAACCAGTTGTTTAGAATGATGACCAAAACCTAAAGAGCAGTCGAAACTCACACTCACGTTTCGTTTTTATTGGTTTGCAAAGAAGGTCGCAAAAATGTACATGCGGCTTGATGACATTGATCTGAAACGAGAGTCTCTGTTTTATCAGCATTTAATTTCAGCTGTTTGAATGCCATGTCAAATAATGTCAAATAATCAATAATGTCGGTTAACTAATAGATCTCTGAAACATTTATGT